AACCGACCTTAAACGACAATACTAGCTTATAATACCTATGATTAGACCCTTAAACAACAATACTAGCTTATAATATGATTACACAATCTCTAAATTTTATAGTTCGTAATTTTATTGAACGGTCAACTGTAAAACTCAAAAGTACAACAAAATTTAGAGTGCCAAGTTACAGGGAATACAGTGCGTTACACGATTATCCACAATTTCATTTAGATGGGAGATGTAGTTAGTTGGAAGTTCCTCTTCCTGGAATATATAAACAGTAGAACAACCGTAACGAATGCATTTGGGCCGCCTGCAGCCAACTGCTAACCGCAATCTAGCCTTGTCGTGTCTCCATCTAGCGTAGAAACGACTCAACCTGTCGGCCTAGTTGCACTATAGGGTGCAATTCCTTCAACTAGGAACACTATTATTTGACAAAACCACCGATTGTTTTCCTTTGAGTAGACCTGAATGTAATAGAGAGAGAGAATATTGATATTATATGAAATACTAGCTTTTACCCGCGGCTTCGCTCGCGTCACAAAAGGATAAAAAGCCAATGTGACATATACCAATACACACAGCGCCATCTATACCAATATTTTTGTTTTCCCTCGGGAATATCAAATTTTTCAGGGATAATAAGTACCCTATTATTTAATCCGGACTTCTAACTTTACGTCTGCAAAATTTCAAAGCAATCGGTTTAGTAGTTACGGCGTTAAAGTGGAACAAACAAACAAACAAACTCACTTTCCGATTTATAATATAAGTAAGGATTTTCGAGCATTGACCAATTTTTTGTGACTTCTAAATCATAATATAACATTACATAACATCAGAAAGAAAAGAAAGAAAGAAAGAAAGCCTTTTTATCCCGAAGGGGTAGGCAGAGGTGCACATTTCGGCACTTAATGCCACTGTACAATGTAACACCCACTGTTCACTATTTATGTTATGAGTCCCATGTAATAGGGGTTGAGCCTATTGCCATATACCGGGCACATTTCCAGACTCCGTGTTACTACTGAGATTTTTAAAAACCCAGTAATACTTTGCCCGACCCGGGAATCGATCCCGAGACCCCTTGCTCGGTAGTCGCATTTGCGACCACTCGGCCAACGAGGCAGTCGTAACCCGTCCGACCAGAAACAGACCCGAGCGTACGGCGCGTCGCGTTCCGCGCGCGCCTCAAAGAGCCATCAGACCACCACAGATGGGGCCCAATAGGGCCGATGCCGATTCGGAGTCGCGGAGAACCTAACGGGTAACCGGGGCTCCGGCTCGACGTGCAGGAGAAGGAACGGGGTGGTTTTTAGTCAGTAAGAGTCTGACACGCCCTTCCGCCTCACCCAGGCGGGAGCAGTCATTCGATGATATTCCCCCCTTAAAAAAAAAATCATACTAATAGGTATTATAAATGCGACAGTTAGTGAGTTTGTGTGAAATGTGTGTTACTCAATCACGTCAAAACAGCTGAAGTGATCGCGTTGAAATTTGGAACAGGCATAGATTATGGTCTGGATACCTATAAAGAAAGTGCGCAAAGTCGCGGTGCAAAGCTAGTAACTTATAAATACCCAAATTCAAAACATAATGTCAAAGTCTAAAACACCAGTAAGTCCAGTAGGGTTGACAGAAAAATATACTATAAGAATTTCTTAGTAATTATGCTATTATTTAATGATTTTTGACAAATATCAAAGCTTTATTCAAGCGTCATGCATTGACTTTCCGAGCGTAAGGCGCGTCGCGTTCCGTGCGCTCCTAAAAGACCTATCAGACCACCATGGAAGGGGCGCAATAGGGTCGATGCCGATACGGGGCCGCGAAGGACTTAACGGGTTGTCGGGGCTCTTGCTTCGGGCAGAAGTAGGAACGGGGTGGTTTTTAGTCAGTAAGAGTCTGACCGCTTTAGTCCGCTTCACCCAGGCGGGAGAAGTCAGTTACTATTTCATTTATTTATTTTATTGATTACACAGACAGTATTGCAAACTTCATCCAAAGTACTGAGAATTCCGTTACCCAAAAACGCGATAATATTTGCAGCTGGATGAAAATTAAAATTAATTTTGATTAATTGCCATTAAGAACCTTTTTGTTGGCATATTTCGAGGACTTCATTAATTTCCCATTAATTAACGAATGCATTGATCAATTGTTTTCCGCGTCGATTCATTTAACGTTCGTAATATGCTGTGCTTTTCTTTGTCACTGAGTAAGCAGAAAATTAAATTATATTTCATATCCATTGATTAAGAATTATAAATCTTATTTTTATTTTAAAAGTGATAGGAAAAAATCGTTTCTCTGTTAATTACGTTTAAGTGTAGGAGAGCAATGCTTAGGCATGAACGGACCGGCTCGACCGGAATGATAAAACGACCTCAACGAAAATCGACGTGAAACAACGATTGTGTTGTGTTTCGTCGTGTGAGTGAGGTTACCGGAGGCCCAATTGCCCCCTCCCCCTTCCCCAACCTCCCTAATCCCTGAATTCTGCAAAAAACGCCAAATTTGTAACGCCTCTGGTATTCCAGGTGTCCATGGGCGACGCCGATTGCTTACCATCAGATGACCCGCCTGCGGGCTTATCCCATAAAAAAGAAATAGCCTGTCACTATTAGTGATGTTAATTAATACCATTAGGTACTAATTGATTGCTAATTAAAAACGCCTAAGGTACAGTTTAATTTAGGAAGACCAAACTTCTCTCTCGCTCTACAGTACTCAGTATATTGTTTTTGTTTTTCTATAACGATATTAAAATAAAACAAGACACATGTATTGTCGGCAAAACACAATAACATTGTAAAAGCCAGTTGAACCCAAAACAATGCTACATAAACTATACCTACGTCTAACGAATATTTGATCACACTGTAGACATTTGTAAACACGATTCACCTTTTTATTGGCACCTACTTTTTTTCGGAATCAGAACAAGCGTTTATTTATTTACACGTGTGTAGGCACTACATTGCTGGAATGTGCGTGTGTGTGTGTGTAATGTAAATCTTATGAGCATTGGGCCTATCGCTGTACAAAAATATTGAACATTTATATTTCTTGTCTCAATACCATATTTTTATAAATAAAAATGAATTGTAATGAAGTTGTCAGCTGACCCAGTTTTTTTTTCGAATTAGGAGTATTTTCGAGTTTACTAATGTAGCATACAATTAAGAAAAACATCGTCGAAACACCAGGATTTACATTAGGTTTTCAATATCGTTTATTTGCTGACCAGATGGCGAATATGTAATTCCCTTATACTTATTATACTTATCTCTCTATCTTACATATCTTTGATATGTAGGATAGAGAGATATTTTTGTCCAATCATATCAATACTCAACGTCGAATCATGTGACAACTTAGCGCCATCTAGTTATCTAAAACACAGTTGCCCCCATTGGGTACTTTCTTTAATCCAAAATAAATTATTTCGACTGTTCAATACAATATAATATTACAAAATAATCACACTTTCATTTATTGATTTTATAACCAACTTAAATTTAGTATTTTACCAGCTAATTTTTAGGAATGTTTGACGCTTAAAAAATTTGACGTCACAATACACAATCTCGTAAAAAAATCATAGAAAACTGTCGTTTTTGACAGTTCGAAAAAAGTAATGAATTTTACTAGTTGGCAAGTACTCAAAATTGATTGACCTTATTAATAATCATGGTGATATCAACGATCATTTAATAGCTATACCTACTCAACTCAACTCCTGGATAACAAAAATCAGATATTTATTTACAATATGGGACTAATCACTTATGTGATTGGTATAAGCAGATAAAGATTATATTGAATGATCGAACTTTTATAGAGGTACATATACCTATATACTTTATCGGCTTGATGTAATGTATGTGTATGTCTTCAATCGAAACATGTGTTACTAAGCGCTAAACTTCAGACCGGCTGACGGCGACGAAAATTCTTAAGAAGACGAGTTAAGGACAAGATATTCGATGACATAAGATATTGAATCGTATCAAAATGGGGTAGTTCAAACCCAAAAGTCATTAGTAACGTGTTAAGCACTAGCTTTTACTACTAGCAACACTAGCAACAGTGGGTACCAAAAATATTCACAAAGGATTTTAAAGTCAAAGACTTCGTAAAACGAACTTTATTCTCTCGCACTAGAAACTAACACGGCATTACGTGACGTTGATAACAAACGTTGATATCGAATAATACTATACTAGCACGGTGCTTACTCTTGATACCTATCTCAATTTCAATGCAATTGCAATCCAATGAAAACTCATATAATTCTTCAATGTCAAAACTATACAACCTCTATTATAGCTGTTAAAATAGCATTCAAAGTACGGCATCTAAAGCCAAACTCAATATCATTTAGTTCATTAAATACCCACGCAATACGGATGCAATGGGCGCTAGTGTTGAAACTTTTCAATGTAGATTGACCGGAATTGAATTCAAGAGTAAGCCCCCTGGCCCTAGAATCCCACTCAAGACATTTTGCTTACCAGTTACTCTTTACCAGTTACTTGCTACTATTTATTTATTTATTCGAAAGAGTATGACCACATCACAAACATATAGCATTTAAAATACACAAAAGTAACAAAACAATTGATCTGATGCATCTGACCATAATGGCGTACGTAGCATTGGCAATTCATCGGCTTAACAATAGCTTAAAAATGGAATACAATTTGTTAATTAGAGAAAAAGAAAATGGCAATGAAAATACAATACATACTCTAATAATAACGCGACCAAAGATATTGAAACATATCATATCCTTCTATATTAAATATTAATAACTCCCACTGATTCACTTGTTAATTCAATTATATTTTTCTCATTACAGATATCGAGGTACCAGGGCACCATAGCATACAAAGATATTGAAAGAACTAGTTGGTACTGTTAACAATGATATCAAGTTTGAACGAGTGCAGTGATTGTGTCAGTGACAGTGTCTAGGGGTGGACACATGATGTGAACAGACAGTCGGCACAATGTGGGCGGCCCAGCTCAGCTGTATTTTCATATTGTTCGGTGAGTAATCGACCTTATACTGTAGGAGATAGAGATAGTGTTAGTTGGTATTTGTGAGGGTTTGAATTGAATACTGCACCGTGTACAGGTTGTTCCAATAAAACACATACCGTGTTTTCATGTTTGTCTTGAGCGTTCAGTACGTAATAAATAATGTTTATAAACAAAATAGGTTAGGTTAAGCAAGTTTGGAAACTTAAAAAGAACTATATTTTTTTAACTAATTTATTCATTTATCTTTAAAGGTAAGTATCTTATAATCTAAGCCCTACAAAACCGTTGAAATGGTTTGACTGTCGAGTTTCTAGACATTAGAAAATAGCTAGTGTCACTTCATTAGACGTCCAATTTTTGACAGCCTCAGTGATTGGAAAAAAATACTTTTTGGTAGGTTAGCCCCCTCTAGTGAGCAAAAGCAGTACCCCTACACCTAAAATATCGGTGGATAATTATGTTTTAAAATTATGAATACGATTATGATTTTTAACAAATTTCCATCTTATTAGATTACATTTTAAATAGGGTAGTGTCCTAAGTTTTATTTTAATGTCCGTCTGGTAGATTATTTTAAAAAATTACACACGTATTTTATCACAAAATAATTTTACAAAATTGAATACTTTCGACGATACATTGATTTGAAATGTCGTGTGACGTCACAATGTATCTCATTCTATTGGGTGACGTAACGACCTCCCGCTCCTAAACTTAACTCCGTTTTATCTAAGTATTGTTTTCTTATACGACAAAATAAAAGAATGTGTCTAATGCATTTTAAATAGCTAAATCAATAAATGAATACATAAATATTAAAAAAATCTTGTTTAGGAGTAAAAAAATGTTTAAAAAAATCTCAGTAGTAGCAGTGAATTGTGCCCGGTGTATAGCAATAGGCTCACCCCCTATTACATGGGACTCATAACATAAATAGTGAAAAGTGGGTGTTACATTGTACAGTGGCATAATGTGCACCTCTGCCTACCCCTTCGGAGATAAAAGGTGTGATGTTATGTTATGTTATAAATATTCAACTGACAGACTAATTACATTTTTAATTTTCAAACACTGTCTACTACCCTATTAGATTGGCACCATCTAATGATCAAAAAATGGTAGCCGCCGTTGCACTTTACGACACGGTAATGATTTATTTTAAATATAACATGGAAAAGATACTGAAGTATCGAGTAGGTGCGGCGACATAGTTTTAGTTGGTGGGTACACATATTGTTCACTAATGTTGCGTGAGGCAATGTGTGTTCTATAATAACAACGAAATTATAGTACAGTCTGTATCACACACCTTTACTTAACTACGATTTTTCATCCACATAATAATATGTATGCTGTATAAGTGTAAATTTCGAATTGGTCGCAAGTACGACTGCTGGGCAAGGGGTCTCGGTTTCGAGTTTTTAAAACAGTTCTCAGTAGTAGCACGGAGTCTGGAATTGTGCCCGATATATGGCAATAGACTTACCCTCTATTTCATGAGACGTATAACATAAATAGTGAAAAGTGGGTGAATAGTAAAAAGTGGGTGTTACATTGCACAGTGGCAAATGAGCACCTCTGCCTACCCCTTCGGGGATAAAAGGCGTCCAATGTGTAAATTTTTGTCATTAGACATCATCTAAGTATCCTTACTTGTTTGTTTGTTCCGCCTTCACGCCGTAACTACTAAACCGATTGCTTTGAAATTTTGCAGACATAAAGTTAGAAGTCTGGATTAAATAATAGGGTACTTTTTATCCCGGAAAAAATTGATATTTCCTAGGAAAAACAAAAATATTGGTATAGATGGCGTTGTATGTCATTTAAAATCAGTCAACGAATTACTTACTTATTGGAAAAATCTAAATAGCGCGATATAACCGAATTCCACTCGAGCGGAAAGCTATTTGTTTGTTTGCCTGTCTTAAACGGCAGAACGGAGGTACTAATTAACGTGATTTTTTTACTGAAGGTAGTTGAACGGATGGATAGTCACATATGCTACTTTTTATCCTTTTGAGATGCGAGCGAAGCTGCGGGTAAAAGCTACTGTACTGTTCTTATAAGTATTAGTAGGTTCATGTACTGGCTACTGTATCTACGTAACATAGAATCATGACTATCATTTCTCGAAATAATATACAGAGAAAATCGAGAAACTCGATATTTGATTTTTCTAGTTCTTGGGATCGAACTGTCAATTCGAACTTTTGAAGTGAGCTCGATCGCATTCTCGCCTCTCATAGATCGAGATTATTCTCACAACCAATGAATGACATGGCCAACCGCGTTCGAGGTCACTTCGATATTTTGAATTGAATATTACAGAAGCTGCTTCACGTTGGCTTACGCCAATGTTATTTTCTCAAATCTTACAAAAGATTAATTCCGAATTAGTTTTAACAAAACTCCTACAACATGTGGCTAAAAGGACATTGCCCTTTTCAAAGGTTGACATATTTTACCAGACATAAATATCTGACTCTAGACAAACTACCACACATCCTTTTTACTTCAAAAAACCTTTCTAATTGGTACTGCTACATTCTATTTCTTGCTTTCTTATACTTCAACAGTTAATTATTATACTCAGCTTTAAATACATGTTGACCTTTACGCTAATTATATTGTGTTTAATATTAAGTAGTAGCTAAATGTTAGGCGTAATAAGTATCTATAGTTAGTCTTGATCAGGGTAATGTTGAGACCAGAAATAATTGTCTGCTAATGTGACCAGTGACCGCGATATGTAGCTCACCGTCTATGGAATGGCAAGTCCCTGAACCTCTTTCCAAGCAAAAAGAAAACATCTATTTCAAAACTGTACAACAAAGCAAATAAAACGTAAAAAATATTCATTTCAGCTTATTTTTAGGCGCTACGCAGCTGCGAATGTAATTTGATACCGTTAATACAACAATGGGCGTATATAATTCAGTTATAAAAACACATTGTTTGCCTTCAGATGAACAATAAAGAGAACAGTCATGACCTAATCGCAATTTTGTTTCAAATTCAAACAAACGAAAACCCTTTTATCTCAGTTACAACAGAAATTTCTTTTTCAATAGGCCGACTACATAATGAAATATTTGCGGAATACCCCGGTTAATGTTTAAAAAGTGGAAGAATAAAAAATAACGAGACGTGACGGGAAACAAAGCACGTTTTTATTGCTGGAAGGCATCGTACTAATGGAGGCTGGACTTAGAGGCTGTTAATCCACGGTACCTACCTACGCATCATGACACACGCGTTCATACACGTAAAATAGAGTAGCACTCTGTATTTAATCTTGCCATGAAGTACGGTAACACTACATGGGTATGACGTCATAGCTCATAGAGCCTCAGACTTTGATAGGCGTGTTATGATATCTAGGTATTGTCATTGTTGGACTGGCAAGATCTACGTTAATTCACAACAATGTGGTTTAGAATATCACAATACTTTGTATTGTATGGTCTAACTTTCAGAAAACAAATTACTTTTACCGCTTCACTCATTCATGTTCTATCGAATAATATTCAGGTTTTTACCTATTATGAGTAAATTTTATACAACTTATATAGGTACACGTGTTTCTTTAACGTTACAAAGTAACAAGTCCGCTTGATGGAGCGTTACGATAACACGCAATTCTAAAACTGAGAAAACATTACTTTCTATGCTTACTATATCGTAAAAATAACAAGATTGTTGTATAAAATCCACACAAGTACCTTTGTATGTTAATAATATGGTACATTGTTAGTTTGAGAGCCATTTTCCAATTTATAAATATTTGAAAATCCTTATTTATCAAAGAGTTTTAGATGACCTTTCAATGTAAAGGATTTCTTGTATATATTCTATATTTATTCAGAATTGCTGCCTCTGACTACATCGATAGCCGAGTGGTCGCAAGTGCGACGGACGGGCAAGGTCTCGGATTTGTTACCTGGATCGGGCAAAGTAATACTGGGTTTAAAAAAATCTCAGCAGCTTCACGGAGTCTGGAAATGTGCCCGGTATATGGCAATAGGCAGACTATAGGGTGAGCCTTATAGCCGTGTAATAATAGTACACGGGACTCATAACATAAATAGTGAATAGTGGGTGTTACTTCTATGTGCACCTCTGCCTACCCCTTCGGGGAGAAAAGGCGTGATGTTATGTTAATGTTATTGTTATTCAGAATTTAAATATTTATAACATAAATAGTGAATACTGAGTGTGAGAGTGGTGTTACTTCTATGTACACCTCTGCCTACCCCTTCGGGGATAAAAGGCGTGATATAATGTTAATGTTATTCAGAATTTAAATATTTCTACAATTTATCTGATAAAATAATATTTTTCCTGTTCAAAATAGATTTAACTGGAAACGTTTAGAAACAGAAACATTAATAAGGAATTATTAGGAGCCGCATAATTATTCCGATAGCTGAAACCAAGACTTGTTTAATGTTTAGCTCTAAACAGAGTTCATTACGCTTGGAAACAATTTATTTTTAATATTACGTGGTTCAGTTATATCTCTTAAACTGGTTTTTGTCTGACGCAAACGACGCAGCGCTGATGGCCGAGATTATATGAACATCTAGGAAGTGTTTTTGAGTGACGCGTAGATATCCTAGGTCCTAGAAGGTCTCGACGGTCAGCACCCGGTCAGCGCCACCCCAAAACAAGCGTTATTATAGTTAGTTATACATATGTATAGGAAAATGAGATTATGTATGTGGATTGTAAATACATAGAGATAAAGAATAATATGGCCTCACAAGATGTAGTTAATGTAGCACGTAAGATTTTTGTAACAATTAATTTTAAATATAAAATAAAAGAAAATGTAATTGAATGACAAGGGCACGGACAAGAGTCCGTGGAGAATAAGAGAACTAATATAAAAAAAAAAACATTACTCATATGAAACTGGCGTGATGGCGTGAAAAAAGCCGTTTATCGGCGGCCCAACCTCCCCAAACGACTGACTACGCACTTACTCCTTTGGTGTTGTGGGTGGA